ATATATACCAGCTGTAGGTAGATCAGTGACTACTACAGGTATATATATATCTACACCCATGTAATTATACCTGTCTATATCTACCCTGACTATATCTACATATATACCAGCTGTAGGTAGATCATTGAATTATCTAGCTCTACTACAATTTGTTGTATCATTTGGCTACAATTTAAATTGATTTTCCATATTAGACATTAAAAGGGCCCTGGTGGCATGTTAGGTCACTGACCCTTAAATTAAATCCCTTACAAATTACCTTAATTCCCCCCCCNATATATCTAGGAAACTTTGGCCAGGTGATGAGCTAAAATGTTATCAAATGACTGGAGTTTTTCTTCATATCAACATACCTTGTATGTTTATGACATCTAAAACGACAATATGTTACAAACATGTATCCACAAAACATCCTGTTATCAACCTTGCGATCAAGAAAAATGTTCATAATCTTGTGATAAACTTCCTCTTGTAATTCGAATAATTGAACAGATCACTCACTTGCATAGTATCCTATATCATTGTTTGGATTGAGAGCACAGATCTCGTAGCCCTCCAGCATGGACATATCCCAGGTCTTCCTGTAGTGGGGGTCATGTAATACATCGTATAGGACCTCTGCTTTCACGTCGGTGAATAACGTCCGTACCTAGAAGATGACAAATTAATCATTTATTGTAGATCTATATATATATATATATGTATTTCCTGGATGTGCAATTAAGTGCAATAAACCTGGCTAAACCGTCACCATAAAGTGAAACCTGCCCAATTAGAAATACCATCATGTGTATACAGGGTGTCATATATATATATATGCATAAACTTGAGGTCAGGTACTATAAATACATGTACCATATAAATATTTCTGCACCTTTAATAAAACTTAATTAATTAATCTGACACCAATTGTATAATGGTTTTGTATTATATCATGAGGACATTTGAAAGTCAATTTGTCTCATGTATTGTAACTTTTGAGAGTAAAATGTTATTTTTTTCTGTTTATTTCAAATATTCATCATGATCAGCCATTGGTTTTGTTAAACCAATTTCTTTTTAATTCTTCTCAGAAGATATTATAAGACAACTTAACCCTTCACCACTGTAGACCATGATGGACTCATCTAGATCAATGCACAGTCGAGTCTACTAAAGTTACATAGGGGTGAAAGGGTTAACAAGATGTAAACTTAAGAAAAATGTCCATGATTTGTTAATCTGAGCATGTGATTATACCAGCAGACAGCTGTAGGAAGAACCGAGTAATTACATAATCAGACAGTAACGACCACAAGTACTGCTTCCAACATCCCCAATCACTTTCGCATTATATTTTAATTAGTCCACACACTGTTATCCGTCTGTTGACTGAGGTAGGGCTATATTACTGCTGACTGTATCTGGGAAAATCCTGGAAATTGAGAGCAGTGGGCCATTTCAGCAATTTTTAGTCAATATGAAAATGAAAAGGGGCCATTTTATATAAAATTCAAAGAAACTTGGAACATGGAAGGGTCAATTCCAGTTTTGAGGGGACAATAGCCCCATGGCCCGCTCCAGGATTATCCCCGTAATATATCATGTACCTCCATTGACCTGACATCATGTCCAAAGTTGCTCAGTATGGGCATGACAACATTTGCAGTGGTCTCTAAGACGGTGGCGACGAGTTCTATTCATGGATGTGCCCCCATATCTACTGTACGTTTCATATACGTCATGATCTCTTTGGAGGTGAAAACATCGTGGGGTGGGGTGGGATATCGGGCAATTGCAAGTTCAAAGCTGATATACACGTAGACTTTAACAATTCATTGGATTGGTTTCTTTTCTTTTGTCATAACTTTATTGCAACGATTATGAAAGAAATACTGAAGTACCATATTTCAGAAAATTGAAAAAGAATTAATAAGTGACTTAGATCTGGATAAAAATGTCCCCTGACAATTTAAAGACTCGCTAGGCCAGTTCAAGACATGAACTGCACTTAATGTTTTGCTATCATTATACATATATTCTATAATATCCAATGAACATATTGACATTAAATTTAAATACCAAGTTCAATTTATTTTACTTGTCATTACAAAGTCATTGATATCAGACAGAGGGCATTCATGAATTCGAAACCTGGTGGGACTATACGTTTCTCATCAATAGCCGTTCAATAACTAGGACTATTTAAATATAATGGGAGTGTTTTAATATAAATACATATGAATAAGGACAGAAATAGATTTATCTATCAGTCGTATGTAGCCTGAGAAGTTGAGAACAGCTGTACTAAAATAATAACACCATTTTAGTTAGTGTTAGCTATAGCTGTACAGGTATATATACGCGTAGCACAGGGAGAAAAATATTGCAATAATCATAACATGTACTTGCAATCCAATTTAGTTATAAATAGACAGATCTAGAACTCCCAAGAATCTCCAAATATCTCATGTGCACATCTTGTATGTCAATTTTGAGTGGTCTCCCAGTCATTGACACTTATGAATATGAAAAATCAAAGCTTAGTTCACGTGTACAAGTAAAAGAAAGAAAAAAAGGAAATCTGTATATATATATCCTCTTGCTATTCATATAATCACTCACAACATACTGTACATGTCAGTCATTAAAACAGTGTATACTCCAATCCAGCTGCTAGAATATTGAACTAAACTAACAAACATTTACCCATGAAGATTCTGTAAAATTCTGTTCAATGACAGGGATAAGTTGTGACAACTAATTTAAAGTGCAGAAGTTAGGATCATCACACTAAGCATATGTTCATTAGACTTTCCATTATAATAATAACTCAATATGTGCAATATTTTCTACTAAAAATCATGTATTTTCACCATTTTCCTCAATTTTCCCCCACATGGAACCCCCCCCCTGGAAATTTGGAAACCCCCCAGATAGGTCTCTGGATCCGCCACTGTCACAGGAGAAAGATATAAACCTGAGACCCTCCAAACTCTAGGGGGGCGCTCTACCAAATTAGATTGAGCTACCTGGTCACGGAAGATCGAACAAAGTCCAGTTCCACTACATTCCTCCCTCCTTTTCTAAGTCTTCGCCCTCGAAGACATAATAATTTACAACCCAGATTTGGGTATCCCCATGCAAAGCATGTCCCCAGTGCTTGAAACAAGGGTTGGCAAGCTCGCTAATATCGTAACATGAGAAAGAAATATGCAACAGCCAGACCGAATTCAAACATGGGACCCTTAGTACAGGCTCTAGATGAAGCTCTACCCGGTCACCGACGATCTACCCAGTCCAGTTCTGCTATGCACATAGGGAGATATTAGCCAGGTGACATAGGACTAGTAGTTACCTTTTAGTGACTTTATATCCACCTTAGATTTCTTTACCTCTTATTATAATGTAGCCCAATCTAGGTCCTCATTAAAAAAAAATATATTCCAATTTGGGAAAGACATAGATCTGAATTTGAGCTGGATGAGCATGATCAGCCTGTAGTCATAACTGGGCACTCATGCATGGCCATTGTGGTGTTCAATTTGGCATACACAGCAAACACAGTTAAATATCATTATAATTGTGGTTACAGGTAGAGGTTGATAATTTCAAAATTTTATCCTGCCAAAATGCATCTTTATGGGTTGTGATTAATTTCTAGCAATTGTCAGAAAGAAAAAAAACTCTTTCATGGGGTCAAGTAGAATGTATTATTATATATATATATATATATAGTCTTAGTTTGGTGTTCTTTCATAATTAATTTTTCATCATATTGACCTGGATATAATAATTTGAGGTTCTTATATATACCACTATATATCACAACCTAGTTCGTAGGTCATCTCAAAGCAGTTCACAAATTATTATCCGTGGTTATAGAGCTTTTGCAATTAGCCAATATCTTTCTCAACTCCATGCGGAGCATACAGCCAGTGCTGCCATTATGGTACTCACAGCTAGCATTCAACACTTCTAGCACTGCCCAAACATGTACTCATTTACAGCTGAGAAGAATGGAGCAAGCGGAGTAAAGTATCTTGCTCAATGATACAACACAGTGCTGTGCTGTGACTTGAACCCGCAACCCTTCGGTTAAAGAGGCAGCAATGCCTGCTTCCAACCCTAAGGTTTTACCTGATTTTAAAAATTCTGATTGATTATATTACAAAATTAATATTGTTGCATAGGTTTAGTATCTGATGTTTATTTTGACCAATAATATGCCTGTTTGACCCTTAGGTCATATTAATTACTTCAATCCATGGTAACGGTTTGCCGATGTGACTCCATTTGGGTTTATTGATACTTGACTCACGACTTAGCCTGTCACCCCTTGGTAACTTTAGTAGACTCTACCATACATTCATTTGGATGAGTCAATTACGGTCTACAGTGGTGAAAGGGTTAGTACATCACTCTAAGGGTGTCTGAGAATTCCACGTTTTCATATAGCAGTGTGCTTTGACCCCACACCAGACATCTATCTGTCAAAATGTCTGATGTCGGGGCCAGAGGATACTCGGACTAGGATATATGTCACATGCTATATAACTGTATAATGGAAGATATATATATAAGTGAGCATCACAGTATATACAAAGTCCTAATTTGAATACACTGTGACGCACATTTCATGTATTTGTTCCTCCATTATAGCATGTGACATGTCCCTGTGTAATTTACGCTACGTACACAATTCATAACCTAGTCAATCATTTTACAGCTAAACTTAAACGGTAAGATCTCCTTAAGGGTTTGTCTCTAGGTTACATCTTTTAACCAGTAATTTCAAAATTACTGTTAAAATATCTAAAGTTGGTTACCTTGATAATCTTGCAGTCAGACACATCATTATTTTTAGTCCACACACACGTGTTATTTTTGTTATATTCTTGTTTCCATCCATCTTTTTCGTCGCACAATGTGTTTAGTCTCTTAAAGTCAGCATCTTCTGCTACTCTTACTTCACCGACCTGCATGTTGAGTCGTATTTCCTGGCTGTATGATGTCGTTATAGTTAGCAATGCAAAGTAAACAACCTTCGCTCAAAACCGCCACACGGTGACTTGTCACTTGAAGCCGGAAGTAGGTCTAAGCTATTTATCGTAAATCAAAAACAGAACAGAATGCTGAAACCCCTTTACATTCATTGTCTCAATGAACTAAGATACAATTACAATTTATCACAAATGAGTCTTTTATAGTATATATTATTATATACAGAAGTCTTGATAATATATTAACTTTTATATTTTGCGACAACATTTGTAGTAAATACATTTTTCGCAATACAAGAAAATCTACAAGAAACGAAAAGCGACACACAAAGTCTGTGATGAAAGTACCAATATGTTTGAAAGATATCTTAAAAAATAAAGATATTAAATAGCCTACCAACGTTACATCAAATGTAAACAATTTATGGCATAATCATCAAACTGATGGAGCCCTCGTATAAAGAAGAAGAAAAAATGAACATTATACAAGTCAAATCTATAACAAGGTAATCTAAACCCGTTTTATATATATCAATTAATGAATTTAACTAACCATTTATTCTTGTGACATTTTGATTCAGTACGCATTTTACGTTCCGGGCTAGTTACACGGTAAAACAAATGAATTTGATTTATTTTCAAAGTGTTGTTGTCAAGCTATTTCGAAACCGATTATGACGAAATCAAAAGAGAGCTAGCAAGGTTGTAAATATAGCACCAGCAAAACCAATTCCTAACATGTGTTTCTTGTTTCTTGGGCCATTTTTTCTTCTACTCTTTTTGAAATATGTTTTACGGCACGGCCGTTGGTGAGGGCGGAGTTAGGTTGTAAATGTTCAAGCATTGAGTGATATGTTAAATTACTAAATCAGACCAGAGACGTATATAAGTTATATACGTCTCTGATCAGACCTACATGTATATAGCTATATAGTGTATATTACAGTTAAGTTTCCTTTCTTGATTGTAGTGTACTGTAGCAGTGGCTAATCCAGAGAAATTTCAGGCAATATGTTTTGGCAAAAAGAATAGTAACACTATCCAGGGACAGTATATATACGTCCATGCACTATCAAATCTTTTAATATTGAAAGCCTTGAGACTATTTGTGAAGACAGTGTGAAATTTTTAGGTGTGGATATTGACTTTCTTCTTAAATTTGATGTACATATATCTCGCCTTTGCAGAAATGCAGCTAAACAACTTGCTGTTTTAAAAAGACTGGGAAACAATCTTACAAAGAAAGGAAAAATTACCATTTTTAAGACTTTTATTCTATCAAATTTTAACTATTGTCCACTTGCCTGGCACTTTTGTACATTGACAAATACTCGAAAAATGGAAAAAGTTCAGGAACGAGCACTTCGTTTTATTGAAAATTATTGTTTCCCCAGTCATTGATATTCTTATAAAACACAAACTTGATTTTTTACATGTAAAACGTATGAAAGATATGACCGGGCCTCTGAGGTTTTTAAAATTTTAAATGAAATTTCTCCATCAATTTTACAAAATCTTGTTCCCTCGGGTAAAGATTCCAAAGGTGAACACCTCCACATATGGTAAGAGATCTTTCCGATTTGCTGCTTCCCAGGTGTGGAACAGCCTACCAAATGAACTTCGATTAGCTGAAAACTATAAGTCGTTTCGTGGGCTGCTCCGCACCTGGAACAAAAATGTCTGCTCATGTGCTATCTGCACACACCATATAGTGTGAGTTGTCCCCCTTTGGAATATACCTACATGTTTTATACTACAACTATTTATTTTCACTGCTGCTTGTGTTATTTAATTTAATATACTTCAGTAATATACTTATTATATAATTGATATTTATTTTAGATTTGAGCTCCATTAATTAAAATTTCATTACTTTTTACATGTGTGATACCATATGCTCTACTGTATAATTTTAGCATATCTAATTTGAATTGTTGTCCTGTTTTTATATTTATTCATAAGTACTGTGATCCTTGTTAAATTTTATATATGTTTTGTCGCAAGAATAGCACTACAGTGCTAATGTTATTATGTTTCATGTATATGCGACGTTAAATAAAGCTTCTTGAATCTTAAATCTTGAACATAAAGCCCACTCAAAACAAAATGTAATTCTTAAAATGCATGAGTGTATAATGCATTTGTTTTAAGTAATTATGATTATATAAAAATTGTTTACCTTGAAAACCTCCGGATTCAGTTTGTCTTGACTTGGAGTTTGATGGAAGATTGATAAAACTTGTATCGCTATGCCTGTTGGAAATGTCGACGACTCAGAATGAAATGCATGTCAACATAATGAAAGATCGCAGTTGGTATGCTGAGGGAGTAAGAAACCAATTGAATAAACTGCATTTGTACATTTACGTAAAATAGGTTATTATCAACAAGTTAACCCACAAAATTACCATGCTTCCTTTACAGGTTGTTCTTGTTGTTATAACATGAATAAGTAGTTGATATATGCTCCACATTTTAAAAATTGACAAAATGATAGGATATGCTTCTATTTAGCTGATTTCACGATGAAAATATTTATATATATATGAATTTTATCTAAAATTTATTACAAAATAACGCAAGAATGTTTTTTGACCAAGACTGGTTAAACATTGTCTTAGGTTCTTGAGAAGTCATACATGTTAAAAGTTTACTAACACAAAAATAAAGAAATGGATGACAAACTTTGATCAGGAATTTCCCTTGTTCAGACGAGTTAAAACGTGCAGTCAGCGACTGGCATGTCACCCACCGCACTTATATATATAAACACTCACCGCACTTGTATATATACACACTCACCGCACTTATATATATACACCCACCGCACTTTTATATATACACACCCACCGCACTTATATATATACACATTCACCGCACTTATGTATATACACACCCACCGCACTTGTATATACACACACTCACCGCACTTATATATATATACACCCACCGCACTTTTATATATACATACCCACCGCACTTATATATATACACACTCACCGCACTTATATATATACACACTCAACACACTTATATATATACACACTCACCGCACATATATATATACACACACTCACCGCAATTATATATATACACACACACCGCACTTATATATATATACACATGTACACCCACCGCCCTTATATATACACACACTCACCGCACTTATATATATACACACCCACCGTACTTATATATATATATACACCCACCGGACTTATATATATATATATACACCCACCGCATTTATATATATACACCCACCGCACTTATATGTATACACACCCACCGCACTTATATATATAAACACTCACCGCACTTGTATATATACACACTCACCGCACTTATATATATATACACCCACCGCACTTTTATATATACACACCCACCGCACTTATATATATACACACTCACCGCACTTATGTATATACACACCCACCGCACTTGTATATACACACACTCACCGCACTTATATATATATACACCCACCGCACTTTTATATATACATACCCACCGCACTTATATATATACACACTCACCGCACTTATATATATACACACCCACCGCACTTATATATATACACACTCAACACACTTATATATATACACACTCAACGCACATATATATATACACACACTCACCGCAATTATATATATACACACACACCGCACTTATATATATATACACATGTACACCCACCGCCCTTATATATACACACACTCACCGCACTTATATATATACACACCCACCGTACTTATATATATATATACACCCACCGGACTTATATATATATATATACACCCACCGCATTTATATATATACACCCACCGCACTTATATGTATACACACCCACCGCACTTATATATATAAACACTCACCGCACTTGTATATATACACACTCACCGCACTTATATATATATACACCCACCGCACTTTTATATATACACACCCACCGCACTTATATATATACACACTCACCGCACTTATGTATATACACACCCACCGCACTTGTATATACACACACTCACCGCACTTATATATATATACACCCACCGCACTTTTATATATACATACCCACCGCACTTATATATATACACACTCACCGCACTTATATATATACACACCCACCGCACTTATATATATACACACTCACCGCACTTATATATATACACACCCACCGCACTTATATATCTATATATACACCCACCGCACTTATATATATATATACACACCCACCGCATTTATATATATATACCCACCGCACTTATATGTATACACACCCACCGCACTTATATATATATACACACACACCGCACTTGTATGTATACACACTCACCGCACTTATATATATACACACCCACCGCACTTATATATATATATACACACCCACCGCACTTATATATATACAAAATGGAATTTGCTACATGTATTTTCTTACGTAGTTACAAATTAATCTCGCTTGAAGTCCCAATTTTCATTGAAATTGGAGTCAGTATCATTTATGGCTTCTTCAAATTGAATTGCCTGTTTTACTTCTATGTCACTAGCGACAGACAAATACATGAAATAATACCATTTATTTGACAGCACATCATTAGGATGCACTCCATCATACAAATCTTTGTATGATGTCTTCATATTTTTTTTTTTTGATGTATTGTTTTTTCTACCACGCTTCTTTGTGGAACATAACAAAAGGTCGCGATCCCATCTCACAGGTGGGGTAAAAGCAAGTAATGCAGAGTTAATAGTTTTCAAATCTTCCTCTAAATGTTTTTGCTGTAGTTATCTTTCCTCTTCTGAATACATAGAATGCTGCAGTTTTCTTTTAAATGTATTGAAATCACGAAATTTTTCATGAGAAACGGATAGAATACATGTGAATTTCCCAAAAATATTTTCAAGTGACTGAAAATAATTTGAAATACCTCTAAATTTAGAAATGATAGTCTGCACACTTACTGTAGATCTAACATACTCTATCTCAGTTCCACCGGAATGAGTAACTTTATTTGTTAAATTACAAATGCCTGCGGCAAGGACAATCCAAATTGTGCGCAGTTTATCAG